TAAAATAGCTCAGATCTCATTGTTAAATTGTACTTATACATTGAGGAACTGCTCATTTATAGCTTTAATCACCATTGTAATTAAGTAGTTATTTGGTTAGCCTTGCTAGTGGTAAGTTCAGAGAAAGAGGAACCACATTTTCATAAACTGTGTTTGAATTTTTCTCATAGAGAAGCATATGAATGGTGCATTCTCCTTGAACAAAAAATGCAATAGAACATCTGTTCATGATGCATTTCCGAAGAGCAGAGCCGAATGAATATTATTTGAGAACTGACTGGTACCGACAAGATGTTTGACAATGCACTACTGAGGCATGACTAATAAAATATATGAGAGTTAGGTTGGGGGAAAACAAAGCTGTTATCTGTAATCACTAATGTGACAAGAATAAATAATAAAAATTGGTGCAATAAATTGCATAGAAATGACTCATGATGAGTTTCCTGGGAAACTGAATATATTAATTCCTAGAAGTCAAAACCACACGCTGGCTGGTAAAAAGATGACTGGAAATTCCTGGAAATAGAGAAGCTTGGGTAGCAGGAACTTGGAACCTGACCCCCTGAATTCAGAATTTACAGGGCCAGTGTGTAATGGATGCCAGGCAATACATCAGGGAGGCTGGAAGTCTGGTAGGGACAGGGCCTTTGAAAGATCTAATGGGAACCTGGTAGAGATTGTGGCTGTCCTTGTAGGGAACTGGAGACCTGGTATGGCTGATGCTAAGTTGCTGGCATATACGGAGAACCTTCTCTTGATCCTGGTGAATTCAAAGTGTTTCAAAAGACTTTGGGGTATGGACTGGCTGTTTCTGAGCAGCTTTTGTATGGAATTGGAACAGTTTCTTGAGATATAATGGTAAAGTTTGTATACTTTGAAGCTTGCATTCTTAAATGAGACATTATAATATTAAAGATCAGCACCAGTTGTGATATTATAAATTTACGGTTTCCAACACTGTAATTACTTGTTGGGTATGAGTACTTAATTATATTGCTGTGTAATTACTACTGAACCTACCCCCAATTTGTCTTTAAAAGAAAGTTTGCTTTGTAACTAAAGTATTTCCAGGGGCCAGAGAACCAATTTCACATCTGAAATATTCAGATAATTTTTAATCATCAGAGATAGACCCAACTTAGCCAAAAAGTATTCCTCTACATTAATGCACTTTTGTCTACACTCAGGATCTCTAAGATAACTGTGGCCCACAAGTGGGAATTTGCCTGTGTGGATAGATTGGATTGCTACATTTTCAGAAATCATGAAACATAAACAAAATAATATTGAGTTCCCAGGAGAGCACCCAACATTGCCATTTCAAATTTTGTCAGGAAAAGCCAAAGCACTTTCTATATTTTTTCTCATTATTTCCCAGTAACACTCTAGAAACCATGATTATTTTCCAGGCAATCTGGTTGTTGGTGATAATAATGGTGGTGATAATAGGGAGGAAGAGAAGAAGGAAAAAGGAAACTGGAGGGGAGAGAAGATGAGATCACATGACACAATTGAAACTGTATTAAAATGAAACTTAAGAACCAGGGATTATATCTTTATTCTTACCACTAACTTGGAGTGTGACCTAGAAGCTAGTTCTTTAGGTCTCAAGTTCTACATCTATACAATAAGTAAGCTTAACTTGGTGATTTATGTATTCACTTATGTCTGCCATATTTAATGCATTTAGGACGAAAGTGGGACATTTTCATTTCCTTAAAGGAATGGGACTTTTTGCAAGTCTATTATTCCCCTGAGCCTCTATTTTATCATGTATTAATACGAGTACATAATATGAGTACATAAATTCCTAACAGGTCTGTTTGAGGGTATAATGAAATGATGCATAGGAAATTGCTTTAAAGATTTCTTGGCTCTACACAAAGATATCAGTTTGTTTTTATGTTTGGCTCATTGACAACAAGCTACATTTATAGCAACTGACTTTCTGAAATAGTATATTTATAAAAGCTTAGAAGGTAATCATAATAAATGAGAGTATCCAATTTCATGGGGAGATTCAACTGAAACAGACATCTGGGCTGCTCTAGAAGCTCATTTTCAGCTACATTGAGTTCAAGCCTTGGGAAGGCACCAAAATGGAAACCATACCTTCTGAACCTAGACTCTGCCCACCTAGGATCAGTGATAACCTCCTCACACACACGTAGAGAAACGATTCAGATTGGAAACTGGCTGTTGGAATATGAAATTCAGGCACTATTGCCAAAGAACATGTTCTCTGAAAATTTTTGTAAGATTTTATTACATTACAGAGATTGTATATGAAAGAACATTAGAATGTGGGGTATAAATGTTCATACTTATATACAGATATGATTATAGGAATAAAACACATATACACCCACAAAGATACATATGCAAAATTTAGATTTATTGTTTTCCAGAGAATGTAAGTCCTTCCTTGTGCATGTTAGAAAGGGAAAGGCTTATCAATAAGATTCCTCAGAGAACTGAGTTAAGCAGGAACTGTCTCCAATTTTTATCAGCGCTATCGCACCTCCAGTTTTCCTATACTCCAATCAGATATGCTCCCATGCTCTGATCTGAGCTCATTATTGTATTCTGTATCACAGCTGGGAGGAGGTTTATTCTTAGTTTCAGTCTGTTTTAGTTTGCCTTTGAATTCATTGGAGTTTTGTAATTTTAGTTCTTGTATTTTACAGTTTTAGCATTTTCGTGTCCATTTTTATATATTCCAGCACTCTGTCAAAATTCTTAAACTTGTCTTTAATTTCTTAAGAATAATAACCACAATTATTTTTCTATATATTTCTAATATGTTCATTATCTGGATCTCCTGTAGGTTTGTTCGTACTGTGTTGTCTCTTTCTTTCTTTCTTTCTTTCTTTCTTTCTTTCTTTCTTTCTTTCTTTCTTTCTTTCTTTCTTTCTTTCTTTCTTTCTTTCTCTTTTGGTAACATTGGTAATTTTTAATCAATTAATTACCATAGGTACTTTGAGGCTCTGAATAGGTCTATTTGGAGAGGAATTTACTCTGGATGTACTACGGTGGAGTAAGATTACTAATACTCTCCTATCTTCAATATTGATACAATTCAAAGATTGGCTTCAATTCCTATGAAACATATCTAAGTTTACCTACTTATAATAAAATTGTAGTACAATCTTTAAGCCTAGAACATATGAAAAACCTAGAATGTTTACTTGTATTCCCAGCTTTTTAGAAGGTCCTGGAATCTCATTCTGTTCATTCACACCATGAGCTCATCCATTTTGGAATCAATGGACAACTCCAGGAAGAAAATAGTCCAAATACCAACATTTCATTGACTTAAAGCCTCTTCTAATTTTGATCTTGCAGTTCTTAACATGATGGTGCTCTAGTGTTTGTGCAGGTTATTTTATCTAGTTTGATAGGAATGATTCAAACTACCCAGTTTAATGCTGTCAAAGGTAATATTTGGTAAATAACATCATGTTAAATTTCTGTATATAAGGATGGTTGGAAAAAATTTATTTTATGATATATGCAAAATTATTTAGAATGGACGAAAAATCTGGAGTGATGATTTTCAGCCATTTAAATATCTAGCCCTATTTACCAAATAAACCCCCCACTCATTATAAATTAATTGCCCAAATGTTCCCTAAATATACAAGGTAACTATATACCTCTTGGCCTTGTTCATTCCATTTAATCTTCCCAAACTATTTCTATTCTATCCTATACTACCTCTTTTTTTGCTTTTTTATAGTAGGCTCCATCTTTCAAGAAATTGGGAGCATCAATTTTTCTTTAAGACTTGGATCTTTGGCCAGACCTTGACTCACTTTTAGCTTCCATTGCCTCATGTTTAAAAGAAATGGAGTACATAAAATTTATCTTCCTCTGAGCACTGTTTAAGATTATAAAGAAATAATGACTTGAAAACCTCTTTGAACATTGATTTAGCTCAGTACAAAGGTAATGCTTTTTTATTATTAGATTTGTCTCCTGATCAAATGGTGTCTGACATAGCAGTGTATGGTTTTCTGGAATATGTGGCCTATAAAAGATTAACAGGTGACTATAAAAAATAAAAATAAAGGCTCCCCATTTTTTGCTGACATAAAGGCTGTGGTTTTTAACCATAAGTAGTTTGAGCCATTGGAAAACGTAGAGGTTAAAACCCATACATCCTGAAGCAAAATCTTAACACCAAGAATAATTGACTTCCTCCTTATATACTGTAAATAAATGAATTCCATGGAAAAGTACTCACAGGGCTTCAGGGATTTGGTCACTTTACCAACCAACATGGGATGAACTTAATGCAAGTTATTCAAGCTTTATATTTAGTATTTTCTGAAAATATACAGACACAAGTTAGATTTACATTTAATTTGTATTTCACGTACAAACCCAGCAGTTTTTCTAAATTTTATTCTTTCTCTCTACATTCCATATGTATCCACCAACTTTTGAGCTTTTCTCCTCCTGTGAAGAGAGATACAAGAACTCACATGATTTAAAGAATTAAGCTTTCTAAGCTCTTGATTTGTTTATTTATACAATGTTTATATTAAAATGCAAACAAAATCTAAAGACCAAAAATTTTATTTCAAATCCCCCAACCTCTAGAAATTCAAAGCTTGCTTTGCAAAGCAAATTAACCTTTTACACATATAAACCTGATAAAGAGTGAAAGAAATTCCTGGTCAAGAAACAAATAACAAATAATAATAACATCAACATATATGGATGCCAGAATAAATATGTTTATTTACTTAAGACAATTAGATTTTGCTAGTTCTTGAAGGATATATAATACCTGGATGATTTCCATCTAATGCAACTATAATTTAAAGTTTAGGTTCATTACTTAGGTTTAAATTCTGCAAGAACCAACCTGTAAGCTAAATTGAGTGGCCATAGAGTGGGTGAGCAATTTGTCTTTGGAGACCATGAAGAGAGCTATTTGAGAGAATAAAATAATTGACATTCTCTGAAAATATTCAGCATGTTAATAACATTCACCAAGTTAATCTGTAAAAGTGAGATCTACAGATTGGCTGGTAGCAAAATGGTTGGGAATTCCGAAAAACAAAATAGGTTGGATGGTAGAATCCAGATCCATAGTCTAAGGTAGGAGAATCACAGACTCCATAACGCAGGGGTCTGAACCCATTGGACCCACAGCGCAGAGACCCAGAGTAAGCTGACGGGGAGGGACGGCAGAGCGTCGAGGTCCTCGGGCGGTAGCAGGGCATCTGGCAGGGGCTGGACACCACGCAGGGCGTCCGGCAGCTGATGGGCTCACAGCAGGTGTCCTGACAGCCACTGTAGAGAGAGGAGCCCAGCTGGCAGGTGCTGGGGGAGCAGCGGCCAGTGGTGTAGACCAGGTTGCTGGGGCAGGAAGAGCCACAGGAGGAGCCTGGGTAGCACAGGGAGCCCCCAAGGGAGCGGGAGGAGAAGCTTCCAGAGCAGCAGTTGTAGGACATGTTGACGGGAGATGTGGGTTCCGCTGAGGTAGAGTGAGGAGATTCTGAGTTTCAATGTCACCTTCTGGACACGGTCATTTATATACTCCTAGCAATAGGCGTGGTAACCTACAGGGTCACCCTTTACACATTTGGGCTCCTCATTTACATATGTGTAACTCAGTAACTCTGTAATTGCAGTTGAATATTTTTCCGCTTGTTGTATTTATGGGTGCTATAATTTTGAGGTTGTAGCCAAGGCCAATGAACAACTCCTATGTCAGAAATGCTATGACTGTTTTACACTAATGCGCATCCCATGATAGGCAGGAAATCCCCTCCTTTTCATCTGGTCATGAGCTTCATGGGCCTTGCTGATGGCAGTCATGAGCAAATGCTTTCCTCAAATGATGGAAAATGAGATGAAATTATTTTTTCTTTTTCTTTGCTGTCCACGGATAAGAGGTCAAACTTTGTCTTTCATGAGGCACCTACTAAATACTGACCTTTCCTGACACTGGTTCCTCATTCTTCAAAAGTATTGTCCACCTATTATACCCTGTTACACAGAACATCTCAGATCCAGTGGACAGGAAACATGTCAGCCAAGACAAATGGAATGTCATTGATGGCTGGAGCCAGAGGGAAACCTGGACAATTATTTGGAGGCATGG